AAAATGGGGTGTGATAATTTACGTGACATAGAAAATAAATAAGTAATGTGTAATAAAACATTAAGAATTAAAAACGATGATTCGTAAAACATGAGTACTGATTGGGTTTCAGTGAATGAGACTAGAATAATAATGAAATATAGATTATATTTTTGGTTTGAGATTGATTATTAATTGTGATAAGTCAATTAACAAGGTAACCTCATTGTGTGACCTAGAAATTATCAGAAGACTCTGCAGACAATCTTTGACTGTATTCCTGTGGGCACTCAGAAGGGAAAGAATATTTTGGATAATTATTGGTATACCAAGTTTACCTCATAGTGACGCCAAGAAGCGGTATACCTTACAGTGCGCGCTGAAAGTTTTGAGCTGCTTGCCGTCATTCGCTTGACATTACAATTCATTGCTGTAGCATTCACTCTTTCGCACTTACGGTGAAATCATGGACAATAAACGCTCGACTTCCTCTGTGATGACATGTTTAATTTTTGTGTTCTAATGATTCCTAGACAGAGGCATCAGCCACATTTTTTATATACTCTTAGAGGTATAGTGTACAAGGAAGTAATCGATGGTCGTGATGCAACTGCCATATAACGACATAAAACATTGGCATCAATTGTAAAGAAGACAGGGGACATGCGGCGTGACTAAGAGGGAAAGAAATACTACGACGAGCGATTGCTGCCTGCTCTGCTATCCCACTGCCGACGCGATTCATAGCCAATCCCCTGTGGTGGGTTGAGCCACTCCTCTTGGGTCCAACGAACTAAACAGCCAACCAACCAACCTGCTGCTAGTAGCCCTTGTTGTAGGCAAACTTGTGTCTACGAGTCAGGAAAGCTGCACGCAAGTTTTCCTATCACATGGGCTAAGAGCAGCGTGGGTAGCCAGTCACTTGTAGTAGGCTTGTATTCACAAACGCTCCTCGACTAGAAAGTTCACCTCAAGGATCCTTGAGGAGTGTATAACGTTGCCATTTTTACAACGTGAAAAGTCTCAAGGGTCTCTTAGAGTCCAATTTTGAGTTGAACAGCGTTTGGGAATACAGGCCGTGTTCTTCCTTTTCTCTCTCGTTCTTTTTTTTTTGCTCTTTGGGATACCACTTTGAGGCAGTTTTGAGCTCTGACGTGGTCAGCCTAGCTGTTAGGCCACGCATTCTCTTCGAAATATCATGTCAGATCCCGAGACTGCCTCAAAGGGTCGCCCAGTCTAGCGAAAACCAGCTGCTTGCGCACTCTACCCAGAAGTTGCCATGGGTGTATGTTTAGTGTCTTCCCGCCTATGGTCCTTCTGGTATCCGGGAGACCCGATTCGTTCCTTGTTTCTATGTGATCGCAGCTTCAAGAGTCAAAGAAGAAAAATCCTGGCATGTCTACGAAGTGAATTGTGACGAGTGGGCGAAGCTCCGGGGAGTTTATTCATTTGACCACCTATGCATCTAAATGAGTGACAACGCGTGTTTACAGTATAGGCAATGTTTTATTGAATATAACTCGCATGCATTGCTGAGTTCTTCATTCCGTTCTGCCTTCAATATTGTTGATTTGTGGTTCCTGAACTGTACAGGCAATGGTTCTCTCACGGGATCAAGCCTAAAGTTGGCAAAGGTGAGGTCTGTGCACGTTATTTATAGTTATTTGGGTCAAGTATAGGGGTGCAGTACAGCACAGTAGTACAGTACATTACAGTACAGTAGCTGGTTCAGTACAGGGGTAAGTCTTCTAGGTCCTTCAACCACGCATGCATGCTTGGTGTCTTCTTTAGGCCAGACGTGCACGAGAGCTTGCTTATCAGCTTTAGCTCTATCTGACTGTCGGTGGCTGCGTAGTACGGAAACATTGCACCATTCTCTGAACGTCTATCGGGATGTTCACCACTTGACCTTTGATTCAGCACGGCTGCTTGCATTGCGTGAAATGCATGAGGCTCATGAACGGCATCTGCGGAACGATTCATCGCTGCTACCCGAGCTCTCGCCTCCGTGGTAGCTGGCTGTCTGCGCAAGCAGCGCTCACGCGACCGAAATATAGCAGCTCGTTGTCGGCATTCCCGCGTTACCGCTGCTTCTTAAACTCCCGCCGTCGCCCCACCGCAGTGGTATAGTGGCTAAGGTACTCGGCTGCTGAATAACTATCGCCTTTGGGATATCTTGTTTTCTGCGTCGGCGTTGCCTTTCATGGGCGAGAGTGCGTTCATATTTGTTTTCATCTATGGCAGGACGAGAATGTGTGGTCTGGAAAGGGCTTATTCTTCATCTTCATCAGCCACTGCACTAAGTGCTCATAATGTTTTACAGATGTGTAGTGGGTACCTCGCTTATCAGCAGAAAGACGAATGACATAGTGGCTGCATCCCTACTTCATGAATGTTACTGGTGGCTTATAGCGGGTACCGTGCATATCCTCTGCCGTGACGGACGTGTGGTAGGCATGCAGGGGGTACCTTGGATGCACTGTGCCGGAAAAAGGACAAGCCTAGATGCTAGGATGATTCAACTCTGGAAATATCTGTAGATCATCTCCGAAAGCTGAAATGAAAAAAAACTTTATTCAGTTCTGTGGCGTGAAATAGTTCAAAGCGGCCCGCTTACAATTCAGGACAGATAGGCCTATATTCTTCGCCACACCGTGGATACATTGGACTGCTCATAGTTGTGCTTCCTAATCCGGACTGCTTAGCGCAGCATCCCACTTGAACATGTAACGTCTGCGTCAACCCATCAAGCGGGGAACTACCAGAATATGTGATCTAAGCAGTCGAGTCTCAGCAAAGCGCGCAACTGTTTGACGTTTGCATTTCGCGATAGAAGTTGTGCAAGAGTGTGAGACTAGGATATGCCCTCACGGTGGAAAGGACACTCAGCGTCAGTTACTAAGGCCTTTTCAGTTTACTGTGTGTCTGTCGAAGCTTTCGCCTCCTCAGATAAAAGTTCTCTGTGAGTTCAGTTTACGTGGCTGGCCCTGGAATAACGAGAACCTGTTTACCACTCGTTTGGGGCTTCTATTTTAGGATGCAGCCACTCGAGTATATTCTGGGCTACTAGGGATATTTTATAAATTAAACCAGTGCTTTGATAAAATTTTCCACTATAAAAATATCGGTATTGATGATGTGTGAGCCACAATGGCTTATTATTTTGCTAAGCAGCTTAAAAGTGTTCATCATTAAACTAAATGTAAAATTTAGCCCAGAATTTGTTCTCTTTTCGGTAATGAATATGAGCCATCGCATTGAGGCCAAGAAGAATAACGAGCGCGCCACGGGTCCTACCATACAAGTCCATCTGCAAAAGCGTGCATGTCCTATTTTACCTAGCCAAGTATACCACCTAGCCGAATAGGTAATTAGCTGGCTGCACGGGCTTGGGTGCTATCCAGCGATGCCCTGCCGCTGTGGTCTAGTGGATGAGGTGCTCGGCTGCTGGCCCACAGGTCGCGGGTTCGAATCCCGGCGGCGGAGCCTGCGTTTTCGATGGAGGAGAAAATGGTGCAGGCCCGTGTGCTCAGATTTCGGTGCACGTTAAAGAACCTAGGTGTTCGAAACTTTCCGGAGCACTCCACTACGGAGTCTCTTATAATCATATGGTGGTTTCGGGACGTTAAACCCCACATATGAATTAATCTATCCGGAAATGAAGGCGAGGAAGACGCGCACTGGCCGAGCAGCGAATGTACTATCGTGAGCAATATCAGCTCGAGCCACGACTATCCGAACACGCGAACGCGTGTCAACTAGCCACAAACTTTGCATCGGCTGATCCGTAGCTGCCGCTGTCAGAAACGCAAAGGGAAGGGAGCCGCGATTCTGCTAGCTGTTGAAACTCTGGCCTCTATATCGTTGCTACAAAATGCATCTTATAGCGTATACGTGGCTGCTAGCTGTGTTATGAGTTCAGATCAACGTTCACAGTCAACAATGATGACCCATCAGGCTATGGATTTACAAAAATATCGGCTGCGTCGTAGCCGGCCGTGATGCACAGACCATGCTTCAATTACATCCAAGTTGTGTTCGCTGAGCATTTTGTCACACATCTTTCGCTTATTTTGTTTCTGGTGCGTTTTCTCTTCGTGTTATCATTGCTAGTGGCCGATAGTGCGTGATTAGCGGCCGTTCCACAGCAACGATTATGCGGGAGTGCCTACACTCAGTGGAAGAGTGCCACCCTTTCTCCTCCAGTTTCGGCAGTGCCATTCACGTATCACGTTTTTTCTATTTTGAGGCAATCTTCCACGCGCTCGCACGTTCGAGCCCATATTTCTCACGATATTATACAGGCTGGTCATAAGGATGAGCACGTGGCCTCAGGTTTAGCTGCGGTCACGATGTTGTGAAACCCTCAGCCGGAACGAAACTCAGGGGCTGCTGTACTGATTATTCTAAAGCAGACCTAATGCAGTCACTGAAAGCTTCAAAATGAATTGAAACAGTTTGCGCCTTTAAAGATTATAATCAGGAAAAGATTCTGACACATTTAAGGCGTGGGCGCACTTCTGCATCTGGTGGAAGGAGAAACAAATGAAAGAAATTGCCTCTGGTTTGAAAGCACCGCCGAAGTTTGTCGACCGTCCTTGACGCGATGTCGGGTTTTATCATATACGATGAAACGCAGCGAGTTAAGGGGTGAATTTGACTTTTTTGCATTGTTGGCTCATTCACATGGGGACGTCCCAAGAGCTCGAGAAGATCTCAACTTTCACCAAGCTGGGGCGATCCTACATAGCACCCGATTTCTTTATTTTTAAAGTACAGAAACGTACCGCTTGTACTCTGGAACGTTAAGCAGGTAGACGCTCATGCGATGACCTTTATATCGCGCGTTACTGCACAAATCCGACTGCCGGTCGCCGCTTGTGTTTTGTTTGACACCGATAGTACTTCTCGGTGTTCTCCTCGTGAAAGGTAGCGCCGCATTATCTCAAGTTAGAATGTACCGCTAATTATTTCCAAAACATGTTTTGTTAAGGGGTGGGTATTGTCAGGCCCAAGCCTGGTTATGAGGAACCGCGTGAAACTTTATTCAGCGTGTCATCCTTTCCATCTGCGCATTCAATTGCAGCTGCAGATTATCAAATTCGGCCCGCGCTTTGCGCATCAGCTCAACGTCTGTCAGCAGGTCGAGCACGGTCAGTGCAAGCACTTTGGCCGTTCTCAAAGTGGGCGGCTGGGCTTCCTCGGATCCGGCCAAGGTTGCGAACTCGTGCGTGTGGTTGGATGGTCCCCGCAAATGGCCGGCGCCAATGGTGTACACGGCGTGCAACGTGGGCACGCGATGAGACACGTTGCCACAGTCGGTGCAAGCGCCACTGACCGGCAGCTTTTTCACGTAGTCGTCGAGGAAGGACAACCCTGCGTGTTGAAATGAGGAAGGCCATTACTTTTCCTCTTAGAAAGACTGCACTGGTAATAAGTATTGGTAATGTCGCAATTATGTTCACCATGATATCATCAATGCGAGTTTTCTACTCTCTTTCATAGGATTTATTACGAGTTTACAGATTTTAGGCCTCAAAGGTTCGTTTCTCTCTACACATTTGTCTTGATTTATGTATGGCAGAGGATATTTGCAGGTGCAGGCTTTTATCGAACGAGATGGCAGTAGACTCTTTTTACGTATTGTGTTTTTTCTTCTCTTTTTTACCACAGGCTAGGTCTGAAAGCCACCTTGCGTTCCTGCCCTTCAACCTCGACTGTTTTTCAGCCACCGCTATATATATATATATATATATATATATATATATATATATATATATATATATATATATATATATATATATATATATGTGTGTGTGTGTGTGTGTGTGTGTGTGTTGTGACGACGAAGACCGAAACTGGCACTCTGGCACAGACGCGCATGCTAGGTGAGCGAGGAAGAAGAAGCAGAAGAAGAACAGCTGGCCCAATATCGGGTATTGTCTCTTGTTCTCTGTCTAGTACATGACAATGGCGCAGTCGACGAAGAAGAATTCTTACGTCCCGGCTTCGTCATCCTGGACAGCCGTGATAAGCGCCGCTTGAGGACGGCCTCAAGGCCTCCTCGGCAGCTCTTCACCTGCCACCACTGCCACCACCGTTCGGGGACGGCGTCAAGGCCTCCTCGGCGGCTGCAGTACACGTTACCGGTACCATTTCGCAAGGGACGCCGTCCACGCGTCCTGAGCTATGAATTCTGCCGTCAGCGCAAGCCGACAAGTGAACCCTCTGCGGGAAGCCACCGGTACGTGTATTCGTGGTTCGTCGGCAGTGCGGGCTTCTCCATCGAGGAACGCCGTTCATGCTTCCTTGGCAATGGGGTCCCACCCACCAGCTTCAGCTACCCTTCAAACCACTAGTGGACGGCGTCCAGGCCTCCCCTGGGGTTGTAGGACATGACCTTATTAACACCCTGTCACCGTTTCGCGGCAGGGATCCGCACCAGCTCCTGTCCTTTGGGAATGCCGCTCACGCTTCCCATGGCCTACATTCCCGTTGCCACACTCTTTCAACATACGAGCTGCCAGGGAACGCCATCCAGGCTTTCTCTGCTCGTCAACCTCACCGGCGTGAGTGCTGCAACCGCTACTCATTCGAAGACCGCGATCACCAACGCTTCGGACATCACACACGACAGTGCCGCGAAGCTGCGGCGTACCATCGCGCTCCTCCGCGTCAAGACTAACGAACTGACAGCGTCAATCTCCGAGCGAGCTCCTACAATATTGCCAGAATTGCATGCCACTAACAACGTGTTGGATGTAGCTGCCTCGCACGACCTTGAGGCAAGCCCATTGGAGCAACGCAGGCAGCTTTGGGGCACACTCCTGCAGCTCTCAGACCAGCTCGATGGCGTTGCCTCAGTGATATATGCATTCTCACGAGCCGACCCACCATCGCCGTTCACCTACGAACTGCCGGAATTCGACGGGGTCCGGAACGACGCCGACAGCTGGGTGGCAATCGTCAACGCGCTAGCAATGATGCGCACGGCCTGGACAGAGAATCAGAAATGGTATGTGGCCATAGACCATCTTCGCGAAGGTGCAGTGGCATGGCACCGGTATGAAGGTTGGAAGCAGCAGTCATGGGCGGAGTGGGGCGTCCAGCTCATAGCTGCTTTCGGTCCAATTCCCTGTGCCACCTGGCTATGTAACTCGACCTTCTCTCAGGACGGAACTCGGAAAAAGCCCGACCTAGAGGATGCGATTCGAGCCCATGCCATCCTGTCACCTCTCGGTGACCAAGATGTAGCGAACAATCACGATCGTGTAACTCTGCCTTGCACATGCATTTCTGCTGTCGTATGTAGAGCTCCTAAGGAGCACCGGCCCGACGGTGCAGCTGTGTCCGGTGGGTCCCTGATGGCAAGCTTTGCGCAACGCTCGGCAAGAGGCCCCAACGCAAGTCGTCCGGTCGACTTGGAGGCACCGGCCCCCATCCTACTGGACATTCTGCCACCTAATGAGACAGGTATTTCCGCTGAGTCTAATAACATCCCATCTGACCAGACGGAAGAGGATATGCGTGCGACGCATGCACTGCCTGAATCGGTAGTCTCCGATTTTCGAAACGGCTTCCGTTGAGGATCTCCCGCCAGTACGCAGCGTGGCTTCAAGAATCGCTGACATTACAGCGTCCGGGAGCCCCATCGCGACAATGCCGCGCAAGTCACAGACTACGCAAGTGACGGCGCAGGAGCCACGCCACAAAAAATTGCGCAGACGGCTGCATAAGATGCTACTCATTTCGTTGCTGGATCCACCATTTCCTGCCCTGTTTTCTAAAATGTGGTGGGACAAAGGAAAGCACTCTGTGATCAACCTGCGACCATGTCGATCCAGTCGGGGCTGCCCGCCAGAACCATCTCCAAGAAAACCACACCACCGCAGGAAAATTCTACCACGAGAATGCCTGCTCGGTCCACCAAAGGAAAACCAGAGTCGAACTACTTTCTCTGAAAAGTCTCAGCGTGGCCGAGGCTGCAGACTGCCACGCGACAGTCAATGGTGTCCCGCGGAGTCTTCACCAACAAAGGGACCAACCAGGACCCAGTCCCGACCACGACGATGCAGCCAACCCCGCCCACCTGAAGCAATTTTAACTGCTGCAGCTAGCCTCACCCACTCACCCACATGAACATTGTCGTGTCGCCCATCGAAAATGCTGCAGTCATGGCCGAGTGTGACGACGAAGACCGAAACTGGCACTCTGGCACAGACGCGCATGCTAGGTGAGGGAAGAAGAAGAAGAAGCAGAAGAACAGCTGGCTCAGGATCGGGTGTTGTCTGTTGTTCTCTGTCTAGTACAGGACAATATATATATATATATATGTATATATATATATATACATACATATATATATATATACTTATATATATATATATATATATATATATATATATATATATATATATATATATATATATTGTGAAGAAGAAGATGTGCCTGCAGCGAGCAGCATCGCCAACGCCTGGCTCTCTCGGCTCGTGCTTGGGTTCGTTGCTGTGCCGATCGCTGGACGGTTCTTGACGCTGTCTCGTCGCTGTCTTTAACGGCTAATAAACCTCCTCACATTTGGTGGAAGGTGCTGTTAATCCCCGTTGCTACACCCTGGAGCTGCGAAGCCGCACGCTACCACCTGTCATGACTGCCAACGCCACTACATCGACGCCTTCGCTTCAGTTCAACTGCCCTGGCCATCCTAAACTACGGGAGCCGAAGGTCTTCAGCGGTGCGGATGGGACCGACGTCGAAGACTGGCTCGAGCACTATGAACTGGTGAGCGCCAACAATAAGTGGGATGAAGCCGACAAGCTGGGCCACGTGATATTTTATCTCACTGGCGTCGCCGAATTGTGGTTTAATAACCACAAACACAACATCCCCACATGGAGCGTCTTCAAGACGTCATGTGCTGAAGTGTTCGGTCGGCCGGCTGTCCGCAAGCAGAGGGCAGAACAGCGCTTGCGCGTCCGCTCTCAGCAGACTGGCGAGACCTTTACCAGTTATATTGAGGACATCGTCGACCTTTGTCGACGTGTGAATGACACCATGCCCGAATCCGACAAGGTCAAAAACATACTGAAGGGCATCGACGACGGCGCATTTCAAATGCTTTTGGCAAGGAATCCAAGCACAGTTTCTGAAGTCGTCAGCTTGTGTCAGAGCTACGACGAGTTGAAAAAGCAACGCACTCTGACTAGGCAGCCTCAGCCTGGTGGTGAGTCGCTGTCCAGCTTCGACTCCATGCCCGACAATTCACCATTGCTTCAGCAAGTCCGAGTCTTCGTCCGTGAGAAAGTCGCCCGCCAACTTTCCCTTGTGCCCTTTACTCACGAGACCACCACCCGTCTACCTGCCCCGCTTCGCACGGCTATATCGGAAGAGGTTGCACAAGCTGTTCCTCGTGCGCACTACGAGCCACCTATATCAAGCCGTGGTCACTGCCCGGGTGTCGCACAGCCGGTAGGCGCTCCTGTCGCCTATCCGCCAGCCGTTCAGCCTGTGGCCGCGCCCCTAACCTATGCAACGCAGCCTGTGGCTCCGCCTGTCGCCTTTTCACAAGAGATGCAGCCCGTATCCGCGCCGCTCACATATGCAGACGCTGTACGTAGGCTCCCGCAACCAACCTACACCACGCGCTCACAGCCCGCACACCCGGCTGCTTATACTGCACCTTGGGCGGCAGCACCAGTCGCCAATTCCTGGAGGACGCCCGATAACCGACCGATTTGCTACGCTTGCTTCACTCCCGGACACGTTGCTCGCTACTGCCGCCGTCGACCTCAGACGTTCGGCAACTATGCCCGGTCGTCGCATCCCGGCAGCCAACCCTTCGTCCAATACGGGCCGGTCTCGCCACCTCGCTATGCGCCTACTGACCACCTAGACTTTCAGCCGCAACGCGCACCCTCTCCTCGTCGGCGATCGCCCTCCCCCATGCGTCGCCGGCCCGGACCCTCCGACCAGGAAAACTAAGCAACGCAGTTCAAGAGGCAAGAACTGCGCCGTTTTCGAACTGTCTAAGCCCTCGCTCCTCTCCTGCTAACGTGGTCGCAGTAACTGTTGAAGGTTATTGTACTTTCGCCCTTGTGGACACTGGCGCCGCTGTTTCTGTTATTGCCGCTAATCTCTGCCGTTTATTACGCAAAGTAACGACGCCGCTTTCGGGACTGTCGCTTCACACCGCAAGCGCACAGCAAGTAACGCCTCTCGCAGCCTGCACTGCAAGAGTCTCCATCGAAGGCATTCTTTACATCGTGGAGTTTATTGTTCTTCCTGTCTGTTCGCATGACGTCATCCTCCGGTGGGACTTCCTATCCCGCCATAATGCCGTCATTGACTGCGCACGCGCCGAAGTGGAGTTTTCGCCC